CGCGTCAATGGCAAGCAGGTAGTTGAGCGCCGGCGCCACAATCTGGAACTGCCCGCCGTTCACTCTGGTGAACGTCAGGCGGTCGCCCGTCTGATCATTGTGCTGCTGCACGGCCCATCGGCCGAGCTCCTGGATGCGCGGGACGGACAGGTCCGGGATTGGCTTGAACGGCGTGTGATCCTGATCAAACGCCGCCGTGCAATCAACGGCAGCGGCAACGACGACGAGCGCGAGGAGGAGCTGGCTGCAGGTCGCCATGGCTTGTCTCTGCTGGCTGGTCGTCGTTGTCATCGAATTGGTGATGGTGGTGGTGGTCGTGGATTGTAGATCGAGGTGAACGAGTAGATTGTTCATTTATATAGACTTCAATCGTATCAAATCAATCGCTAGGGCTTGGCAGCATTCATGCCTGTATGTATGGCAAATTATGATTGCGTAGATATATATACTTCAGCATGCATGCACTAATTAATCGGTTAGGCAGGACAACACACACCAGAAGATTATTTGTTTCCATGCATGAGTAGTTTCCTAACTGCATGCCAAAATTAAGGATTATTGCCAGATCATCATATAAATATTTAGTACTAGTATGGCATATTAATTAAGATTGCACACATATATAGCATGCACTAATCAATCCTGAGGCGGGCAGGAATACTCACCTGATTATTTCTTTCCAGGATTTGTTGCCAAATTGCCAAAAGAATGATTAGTTTCCATTTTTAATTTTTGCGGCGTGGGTTAGTTTCCAGCTAACCGCTAGATCCTTTGATTTTCGAGAGTTCCGTCTAAAAAAATAATTGGTTTTCTTTTATAAAGAAAATAATAATCATCCCTACATAATTTTTTTTGAGGTAGACAGATATTTTTGATTGGACCCCAATAACCGGGGAAAGTCAATTTTGTAGCCTCCTTGTAAAATCAGACTAGAAATGGCCCAGGTTTAAGATCCAAAAAAGTACTACCGTGGGCAAATCCAATGTGACGTTGCAGGCGCCCGTTATTGTGTATATTAATATGCAAAAAAAAGAAAAACAATGGTGGTCACTGCGAATCCAATAGGAAGAAACTAGTTAACAAGCGCTTCTTTAAGAGTCTCGCAACGATCACTTGTGGTGGGGCTGAGAGCGTGCCACTTGACGTCCTCTCAGCTGCCGCCACGTGCCACATCTTGGGCGCTTCCTCTGGATTTTTTTTATTTGTTCGCACACGTTTTCTGCTTTTTAGATGTATTTTTTCTAGTTTTTTAACTTTTCGGTTTTCACCAGTCTTTCTTAGCTTTTCAACAAAAAATTTGGAAAACCAATTTTGCGTGAAAATACACGTTTTTGTTTTTTCCTTTCGTGAGACACACGTTTTTCTTCCCCGGGAGACACGTTTTTGCTTAACAGAAAAAAATGTGTTTTCTTCTCTTTTTTTTCCTTTCGTGAGAGACACGGTTTTACTTCCACAAGAGGCACAACCGTGCCTCTTGGAAACGAAAAAACGCGTTTTTTTTCTTGTATGAGAGGCACGGTTTTGCTTTCGCGAGAGGCACAACCGTTATCATCGTGGAATTTAGTTTTGAAGATTTCGACGCGAGGAATCCAATGATGAAAACGGTTCAAGATTTGAACAAACCGTTTAAGAGATAAAACGTTTTGAATAAACGGATCTACGATAAAAAAAGAAAACACACAGCTTGCAACAAGTGGCCCACATGCAAAGCGCCACTTGTCACAACCTAGGCTAGGTGAGAGTGATCTTTGAAATGAGTACTCCTTAATTAGTGATTTCGATCGAACAGACGGCCTCACACATTGAGGTTCGTTCGTAAACCCAACGCGTCGCGGAGCAGGATCTGCTAAGCTTGAACTCTTCCTTTTTTTTATTCCTTCCTTCTCTCTTTTTTTTTTCTTTTTCCTATTTTCCATTTTCGTTTTTTTTTCAATTCTTTCTTCTTCCAGGTTTCTTCCATCATCGATTTTCATTTTTTTTCTTTTCTTAAATGCATGAAATTTTTCCAATTTGATGATGTTTTTTTAAAAAAATTCGTGAACTTTTGTTTTCAAAATCACTTAACTTTTTTTAATTTTAGTGAACTATATTTAACAACTGATGATTTTTTTATTTGGATGAACATTTTTTTCAAATGCAATGAACTTTTTCCAAATTTGATGATATTTTTCTAAAATTGATAAACTTTTTTAAAATTGATGATCTTTTTTCTAAAATTAGATGAACTTATTTTATAATTGGATGAAGTTTTTTTCCAAATTGGTAAACTTTTTAAAAAATGGTGAATTTTCTTTTCAATTTTTTATGAACGTTATTTAATTTTTCTAAAACTATTTTTTAAAATTGATGAACTTTTGTTGTAGGGCAACGATTTTCTGCATGTTGACGATTTTTTTTCCGAAATCTGTGACTTATGAGTGGCTCTGATAGTCGTTAAAGTTTTAGCGCTGCAATCTATCACTTGCGACCACATGCCCTAGTGGTTAGCTGAAGTCGTGTTAGTAGTGTAGGGCGCAGGTTCGATACTTCATGTGAGCGCTCTTATATATTAGTTTATGGAGAGAGTATTTTTTTTCAGAATCATTTACGGAGGGAGTAATGCACCATTTTGTGGCGGTCCGTTTCGTGGGCCGGTGCTGATTAGGAGCTCCCACTACCATGCCTTACAAAAAAAGTGCGAAACAAATAGAAAATGGGCCAAAAACAGCCATGGCGAATAACACTAAATAGTGTCAGGAAAAATATTAATAAAATAAAATTACCATGGATTTGAAAAAAAAAGCCACGGCTTGATTTTATATGATTTTCATTTTTTAGAGAAATATTCATTCTATTCATCTTCAATCAGGGCAGTATAATGAGCACCAGAAATAAATTATATCCAGATTCATAGACCACCTAGCGATAACTACAAGTATTGAAGCGAGCTGAAAGCACGCCGTCCTTATCGCCCCTCCCTCGCCGGAGCCGAGCACAACTTATTATAGTAGATAATCGGGTAGTCGTTGTGCTAATGCCTCATAGAACCAACGCATCAGTTTTCACTTGCTTCATTAACAACACGTAAAACATCCTGCCAGCATACCAGTGCAAAAAAATCTTGGTTTATTTTCTTTCTAATTTTGTCCGTATTGTATGCCCCTCTCTTCTATAGACCCATTTAATTGTGAGCACAAAAAAAGAACCATTAATTATGTGAACGTTTGGGGCCGGGGCGCCAGCCGAACGCTCGGCCGGTCGCACGCAGCTCGTTCGATTGCCCACATCATACGTTTCCAACAGGTAGATCGGTCGGTTGCGCCCCACGTGCCTGTGTGGGACCAAGCACCGCTCAGCGATCTTATCCTCATCTCTCCCGTCGTCTTCAACGCCCAACCACACATGACTGCGTCTTCCACCTTCCTCTCCCCCTGCTGCCCCTTACCATTTGCGAAGACAAGCCGGCCGCCGCGCCATGAACCTACGGCAGCCTATCCTCTTTCTCCCTCCGCACCTCCCCAACCCCCGCCTCGCCGCAACATCAAGGTCCTGCAAGGGGGACGCCCGCAACGGGGACGTGTGCTGCTTCCTGCGGTGGTTGTGCAGTCGGGGAGAGACGCCGACGATGCCCTGTTGCTTTTGTGCAGCGATGCCGGTTGTAGCTTTTTGGATTGACGGATGTAGCTTTTTCACTAGCT